GCAGCCCGGGGAAGCCCAGCAAGGGGGCCTCTCCTTCCAAGCTCCTAGGCAGTCTGAGCCCCAGGAGCATCCGCGTCAGTTTCACAGCCTTGCAGACTCTCCCTGGTATAGATCTCTCCACGGGGCCGCCCCGAACAGAGGCCACGAGCCCCGCACCCCAGGGTGCTCCGCAGAGCTGAGGCATGTACCTAGCCTTACACTTTTCCCCTGGGTTTTTGGTTTTTTTTTTCGTTTCGTTCAGTCACATCTGCGCTTTGTTTTCTCTCATTTCCCATGTTTCCCAACACATCATGTTTAGTGAGGTGTTTAAGACAGACTGAGAGATGCTGTTGGAGGCGATGTTTTATAGCACAGTTTGTACACTAGTTTATTGCCAAATTAAAATAAAGATGTAATCTGGCAGACTCGGCCTGCTGCTAGGCCTTCCTTGGGAGGCTGTAACTAAGCCTGCACGGAAGCGAGAAAGTGGAGGGAAAACCAGCAAGAAAAGGAAGCACTCTCTCTGTGCTCCTGGCTGCTGGGTCTCCAGATGCAAAGAAACGAGAGGAACACGCAGAATGTTCGGTCTGCCTACTGCTTAATTACAGAAATAAAAGGTAGGTCAGTCCAGGAAAGTGAGCTGTTGGTGCTCCCGTAACGAATGGCCTGGAAGTCTCCATAGCGTCCATAGTGAGTCACTGCTGTTTTGTGAGAAGCCAAAGGCATTTGACTGTACGTGGCAGGTACGCCTCTGCCCACAGGGCATGACATTTCCATAATGTCCATAATGCTTATTTTTCTGGAAATTCTGGAGGCTTTCCAAGGGCACACCCTCACGTAGACCTTTGAGAGGCCAAGGAGTCTAGCGCTTGCGTCTATACCCTGTAAGTCCCCCAACCGGGCTTCCTAAGAAGTCAAGCTACTTCCTACAGAACTTCAAAGGGAAAAAGCCTCCAAACCTTTTCTCTTCAGTCATTCTCGTGGTGGTGGGAGAGCCACATGCCGCTTCAAGAAAGCTCTGACCTCTTGGTGACTACCGAGACATTTCATAGGTAGATTTTTCTCTAAGAAAAAAGGCTAAAAGAGCAAAATATCCTGATTTTATGAATTTGGAGGGCACTTGGCCATATACATGTCTCTCTGATTAAAGGATTTTTTTCTTCTTTTAATCTGGCTTCCTACGGAACTGATGGCCAGTAAAACTCTATCTTGAGCCAGAAAGGACAATCTGCTCAACCAAACTCTTTAAAAGCTCACGTCAAAAGAGCCTCCATTGAGAATTCAGACACGCAACATGAAATGCGGTCAGAGCAGAACGCCGCAGCCCACATGGGCTCTCTCCTGCGAGCCAGAGACCCAGACCCTGTCCTCAGGGCCCCCAGGTCTCAGTGAAGGTGAGAAAACACAATGGCAGGGAAAAGTAACGGCAGCTGTGTATTCAAAGGAGGGAGCATGTGCCTGAGAAGACAGGACAGCAAACAAGGGAAGAGAGAAGAGATGGAGACACTGTTCACAGGCGAGCTCAGTGGGAGCTGACACCTCAGTGCGATACTTCCTAACAGCACTTTCTGCCTGGGGATTTTGTTCACCACAGGCGTGTGGAAAACAGCATCCAGCAGAGGGAATCCTAGCACGGCAGCACCATCTCAGCTAGGGGTTCTGCAGCGGTGACTGTCACTGAACGCTGATGAGCGTTACTTATGCGAAAGAATGCATGTTCCCATTTCCCAGGCAAACACAGTCACTGGCCGCCAACACCAGCATGAGCCCCACCTTGGCACCCATTGCGGCAACTCATCAGCGTTAAAAGCTCTGTGATTCATAGGTGATTGCCAGCTATTATTTCCATATCACTGAGCCACATGAGTGGCCAAGACCCCGCCACTTGACTTCTGGCCAATGCCACCAGCTAATGGCTCATCTGATGGCTGGAGCCTGCACCCCTCCCTGCTAAGGCCCCACGCTGCTCGTTCTGTGATCCAAGCCCTGAGATATGCAGTTCTTCTCCAACCTCGACTCATATTAGTAGGTTAGCCACAACTTTTTTCCCCTCAGGAAGATTTATCCTTCATTCTCTTCCAGAGAAACAGAGAGCTTAGTAAAAAGGCTGGCTTCTGTCCCTTTGCTAATCTCCAGAAATCACCATCAATTGAGTAGAAAGCCCTAATAAATTTCATATAAGGTTTTATTCCAGTGGCTGAACTTAGACATGTGATACCAATGAGTGGTTTTTCCCTTTGGGAAAATTCATTAACTTCTCAGATTCTTGATTTGTTAGCTACACACAGAGCAGAGTGTTAAAGCTTCTTCTGCCTCTGAGATGGTAGAATTCATTTGGTCTATGGTCACAAAAGACATTTCTTGGTCCAGACCAGGACTACTGTGATATCTTCCTAATTGGTCTTCTTGGTTTTGGCCTCATATTATCACAGTGCATCCTAATGTGCAAGCAGATTAATCCTTGTAATCTATAGCTCTGGACATACAATTCCACTGACTAAAATGTTCAAAAGGCTCCTAATTGGGAAAACAAAAATTATTTTGCCTAACAGTCAAAGCAGTCCCAAAAACTCAAAAGTAGGTTCCAGGAGTACATGTATAATTAGCTTTCCCAAATTTCAGTTTCAGCCAAAAAGATACATTCACAATCCTGTTAACATAGGTTTTCTAACTTTACAACTTCATATCATTGTTTATGACATTCCTCTTATGTAAAATGTGGCCCTCCTCCCCAACAGAGAGATGACATATTCATCAAGATCTAGGTGAAGTCATTTTATAAGACCTCCATCTCCTAAACTTCAGGCTGCCAGTTTCACACAGGCCATCAGCTCCTTTGACTGGGTAGGTATTGCGTGTGAGTGAGGGATCTATCTGCCTTTTGGCCCCTCTAACACTACTAATGAACTCATGCATTTTTATCCTCTTTCCCTAGATAAATTGGATACCCCTTGGTGTAGTTATTTTATACCAACAGTGCACGATACTGAGCACCGAAACCAGACATGGTACCTAGTATTTGTTTTTGTTGTTTGGTTGGTTTTTTCAATCTCATTGGAAGCGCACCTGCAATTGTAATTATCCATGAAAAGAGATTTTAAGGCAAAGAAAGCCAACACCAAGTACTGCTCCTATACGTGATGAGTTGGGGCCATAACCTCCACATGCCCTGACTCCCCCAGGGTCACCCACTCTGCCACAGTGCTCGTGCCGGAGGCACCGTCTGAAGGGCTGGCACCTAAAGGGTTACGTTTTGGGGCCTTCCCTCCAGCATAACTTCAAAGATGCATAGTTTTCACTTAGCCAGGTAAATCTGGCCCTCACTGTGCCTCTGGCATCCAGGGGAAAATTAACCAACTGTCAAGTAAAATACAAAAACCCAGTGGATTAAATGACTAATACTCTGTGTCCCGAGCCGCTCAGCTGTGCCTCTGGTAACTGCACCAGCCTGCACCAGATGCACTGTGGCTTGACTCCAGGAATGAAATTGTACATTCTGCTGAAAGGGTAGCCGGGCTGCTCAGGAGGAAAAAAATACTAATTGTAAATCTTTTCTATTTTTAGGCTTAATGTGCATTTTATTTGGCAGCAAGGGCAGCATGAATAAAACTCTAATCCTAAGAATTTTAATTTGCTTCCTCAAAAATACTCCTGTCTGTAGACTTTGGAAAGTTTCCTATACGATTCCCCTCCCTAGAGGAAGAAGAACCCCACCCAAACAGATAAAATCCTACAATAGCCTCCTCACTCAAGTAAGCCCAGGATTTCGTTGAATATATGTACTTTGTAATATATAATTTCTCTAAGGAGAATTCTCAGAGTGACCTCACTGAAACATGCATTTCACAAAGAACATTTTAATATTTTTACCTATTTTCCTTTCAGCTTTTATGGCTAGAAGCTCTCCTGCATGTGCCTGTGCATGTTTTATTTCTTTTAATTTTACTCTGATTGTATTTGCTGTTGTTTGCCTTATATTTCACCTGAAAACGCAAGTTCCTTAAAAGCAGGAACTATATGTATTTTACAATGTATCTGTACATGACATATTCTGTAGCACTTACCCCATAAAATACATACACATATCATGTATGAACACGTGCACTCACACACACACACACACACACTAACAGACATAATAGCATAACTTCATTCAATGTTTTCTTAAAAAGTGGAACTTTCCCAAGGATCTCTCTGTCCTGAATGGGTTTTTCCTCAAATTACAGGGCTTGTCCCTATCCTTGTTTACTAAACGTATAAAGGTATATAGTTATAAGACCCTCCCCCAAAGATTTGTTTTTCTAATTGTTGAATATATTGTGCAGTGTTTAATACATGGAACTCTTAAAGCTGTGCACTTACCTTTATTTCAAAAATCTGAACTCAGGGCCAGTATAGGCTGAGCTCAGTGTTTAGTAAAATTTAAATGTGAAAAAAATAGTACATCCGTTTAACAACAACAACAAAATAAAGTGGACCTTTCTTCGACCCAGCTGCCAAGAGAAGAAAAGTCCTGAGATTACCTGATTCAGAATAATGTTATCTATGTACATTATTATTGCTCTCTGGCCATTTCTCTCACTATTTTAGCAAATCACTAATGTTCCTAACCTTTTCAGGGCCAACTTGAAGGGCATCCACCTACTCTTTACAGGGTCTGGTAAAAGCCACGGGACCCTTATTCCAAAAAATGCTCACATCTCCACCTACACAAAACACTGTCTTAAATGCCATGGAAGTTAGGGGCTCTTTATGGGTTGAAGCTTTCAGGTTGAGAACTGCTTCCCCACAATGTCTTCCTCAGTGTTTGGCTTTTCCTTTGTATGCTGTTTCAGATGCTTACACAGCTCAAGCAAGCCCCTCTGAGGTCCACGTTGCTGCCCCTCGCCCCAGAGACACAGAGTTCAGGCTACTGCACAGAACAAAGGTGACCACTGAGAAGAAATGCAGAGATGATTAAGTAGCGGTTTTTCCCTGGGACAACCATGTGCTGTTGTCTCGAACAAGGTTACGAGGCTCACCTTTTGGTCTTGGCTGTATGCCAGAATCCAGTCCTCTTGCTTGGGATGGAAAAGCAAGCTCTGGATGTAAAAGTTCAGCCGGTACTTTTGATAGGTTGCCCCTTCATCTGAGCTGATCAGTAAACTGCTCTCAATCTCTGGGTCTGTGAGCAACATGATCTGCAGCAGAGAATTGTTTGGGAAAGAAAAACAACAGAAAGTTAAGTTTGCAGATTTACCGAGCTTAAAAATAGCTACATTTCTGACAAGGGAGGAGAAGGGAGCAGGCAAAGAACGCTTGGCTAAACAAAGACCTTGACTCCATCACGTTGGCTCTCCTACCCCTTGGACCAATGCCATGGAACTGTCTTCACTAAGAAATTAAAGAAGCAGGGCAGGTTGAAAGGGAGGAGGAGGAAATAGAGGAGTGTATCTTCTTCCCTTCTATAGGGCACCTTGGTGTTTCCCCAAGGTTACTTCCTTAATCTGAAATGCTTCCCATTATTCCCCTAACCTCAACTCTCCTTCTTACTGAGTCTCGTCTAGTCTCCATTTTGGGGGGTAATAGAGCAAGACTTTTCAGTCTTTCATACGAAATGTAGACAGAAACAAAAAGAGGATGGAGTCCACTGTTTTTTCTCTCCTACCACAAACCCTCTTGTTCACATCAACAATATCTCTTTTCATCCTGCCTTTAGCCTGATTTTCTGAGTCTCGAGTCAAAAGCTGGGCATTCAAAAGCCTCAGGGGTATTTTACAAAGGTTCTTTCAACACCTGCTAATCTATGAAGTAGTTTACCTACTTATTTATTGCCTATGTACCCCCCTCTAGAACACAAACCCCGTGAGAATAGTATAGCTCGTATTTCTCTACCAGGTGTACTCCCAGCAGTTAGAAGGAGGTTCAGCATATGTTATATACTCAGTCGATATTTGTCAAATGAATGAATGCAAGTTAATGGAATGAATGGAACAAGTTTTCAGAGTAGGCCTGTGGATTTAGAAAGATGCCCAGAACAGTCTGAGCATCTCACGAATGGAAGGGCCGTGGAAAGAGTAGGTAGACGCCCTTCTCAACCTGCAGCCCACCGACAAGAGAATATGCTACACGCGTGTAAAAATTCACAGCTGCAGAGGGTTTGTGCTCTCTCGTTGGGATGGTTAATCTCGTTTTCTGCCTCTGGGTATGTGTGATAAAGCACCTTATTCCCAACTCTCCGCAGGTTGCCTTTTGTGCAGGCAAAGTGCGCACCTATGCCTCTAGACAGGTGGCCTTAATGCTACCCATTGACTTCTTCCCTATCAACTTATTAATTGGCACTTTCTGAGTCTGGTTCAGAGAAGCATGAACGACGTGCTTAAAGTGTGGCCGTATGAAGACAAATCACTGCAGCCTGGGGTTTAAAGATTACCGGCTGAGGATGCAGCCATTTCAGGAAAAGAAGAGAGAGAAAGGGAGGGGAAAAAAAAAAAACAAAAACAAACTAGAGCCATGTCATAAAAGAGCCAAGTGCCAGGCAAACACAAGGCTTTCTCAAGCTTCTGGAGGCAATCATATTAAAACCTCAGAATAGTTAAGTGTCAGCTTCCAAAGTAGCGTCCTGTCACTGCAAATGGCACCTGAGGCTCGCGCACCAGACGCACTCAGCCTGAACTGCGTTTATGTTAGCTGGCATTGAAGGCTCCTTGCTCTTCCTTCAGCCTGCTCTTCTTGGGAGAGGAGAAATGGCCGTGGTGGCTG